CATGTTGCCTTCCTCTCAGTTTACATCGATCACTTTAAGCACTGACTAAAAGATTGAAAGCTGATCCGGGCCTCGAGAAGTGCCCATAGATCATTATTTGCTATACTTTCAGTCAGTCACTAGCATTAGCCGCTAGCCATTAGCCTTCAGATGTTGTCATTATCCACTAACCTCCATTAGCTGTGAGCTTTTAGCCTCGCTGCATTATTTAGCTGCCTCTTGTGCACCGGAGATGACTGAGGCTCCTCGCTAAAAGTCCATCTTTAAAAAAAATGTTGGTCCTCAGCAAAATCTCTTAAAGTCTAAACTGGGACACACCCGGGTTGGGATTCTTGGTATAAATAAAACTGTGAAATGAGCGTGTAACATTGTGCATTCTCATATCAGTCATGATCTGAGGGGCTTCTGACACTGCATTTTTTTTGCTTTGTTGTCATTCACAAACATGGTTTTCTGTATTTTGGCTAAACAAATGACAATTTATGCTTGTCTTTACTATTGGCGGGGATCAGATTAGTCCAAAATTATGATAGTCTTGTTTTAGTCCTGGTTTAGTCTCAGTTTAGTGCTGGTTTTAGACCAGATTGTTTCAAAAATAGGGACATCTGGGACATTTCTTATAGGAAACTTGGACAAATCACTGGTTTTGTATAAATCTGCTTGGAGGCTAGGATTTAAAACTGCCGTTCGTGTATACAAAATAAAGCGGGAAAGCGGAGTATTACAAATGTATGTAGAGTGGACGTTGACAAGACTAATCACAGCCCTTATTGTCTGCGTCGCGTTCCCTTGCTGTCTGCGTTGGTTAGATGCGTAATTAGAAAATTTCGGAGGTGAACGTCAGTCAGTGCAGATACTCTTCGGAGGGGCTTCATGGCAGTGCAAACTCTCTGCGTTGAGACCAGTGGCTTTTCTAGGATTTTTCTAAAACACTGGCCGTTAAGGAGCCACATGTTACATGCAGGGGCCAAGTGCAGGGCACATCTAAGCACACAAATGATTAATTCAGTACAGTGCAAATATATTTATACAGTTATCTAGTACCTTTTTTCAAACACAAATAAAACATTATGAAGAAGTAAAGTATGGAATCCGACTCCGTAAATGGTAACATTCAAGTGTTTCAAACATAGACCGTAAAAAGAAGCCCTCGACAGGTCTGTTTCTTCTCCCATTAAGTTGTATTGACGCAATAGGTCTACTGCCACCAAGAGTTTGGGGGTGGAATTGCATCAGTGATCATTAAATTCTCTGGTTGTTCTTCTCACCAGTTGATTGACAGAACAGAGGCACTTCAGGTGCCAATCAGATTAGAGGTGTGGCCCGAGAACTACCCCTGGTCGTGACGCAGACGTTTTGACGCACACCCATAAACTGGGCTTTATAGATCAGATCTGTGGAGAGGCAACCCCACTCACAGTCAGAATGCCTGCTTTTCTAGGTATCTTTGAGCTTAAAATCATCTGTAATAGTAATTATCTGTAATAATCTGACGGTAGAGCTGTTTAATGTCATACTGTGGAACATTCCAAACAGAGCAATGACATCTCCCTAGAAACAAGCAGGTGACGAACCCCCCCAAAAAAAGTTAAATAGTGCACTTATAAGCAGATTTTCTCTTTTGATACTTTACTTTTACTTTACTATTTTTTCTTTTCTCTTTTTTGCTACGACATCTGTACTTCTTTCACCACTTCAACAACCTACAGTGAGAGACAGAATACTGAAGATTTGGGCAGAGGCTTTTGGCAGAAAACTGAACTGCTCGTGGGTCTTATCATTTATTAAAGACAGACTAAACGCTGGGGTGTAGCCGCTGTTTTACCCACTGCGGTACCTTTCCCCGAGCTTGCAGTCGGATGAAATTATTAATACGACTTGTTAAATTTGCATAGTGAAGAAAAACTCAACTTTTGACCCACCGATTTCCTACAATCGGCAATTACTGTAAGTACCAATTTAGTGAGGTAGCATGGGGTTTCCAGGAGAGGTCAGGTCACCATGAAGCAGTTCTGTCCTTAGCTACTTAACATTCAGAAATATCTCATTAATTGTGAGTCAGTCCATTTAGCAGTTTTGAAAGGCTCTGATTGTTAACGTTTGTTCTTTCTTCTTCTGGTAATGGGTAAGTCTGCTCTCCCTTTCATTATTTTGCGTCGACTCCCTCATCGCAGTTAACATTTGGACAACCATTTTAATACCTTGAATTAAACATAAAAAAGAGAACTGCTTAAAATCAATATATGGATTGCATTGCTGTACTGTGAAGTGGTCAAGGTTGGAACACATATGCCAGACTCTGTGCTGACTTGAATTTTTAATGGACTATGACAGGCCTAAACAGGACTACGATAGGACTACGACAGGACTTCGACAGAACCACAACAGGACTACGACAGGACCACGGCAGGACTACAACACGACTACAAAAGGACTATGACAGGACCACAACAAGACTAAACAGGACCACAACAGGAATACGACAGGACCACAACAGGACTATGACAGGACTAAACAGGACTACAACAGAACTAAAGAGGACTACAACAGAACTAAACAAGACTACAACAGAACTAAACAGGACTACAACAGGACTAAACAGGACTACAACAGGACTAAACAGGACTACAGCAGAACTAAACAGGACTACAACAAGACTAAACAGGACCACAACAGGACTATAACAGGACTAAACAGGACCACAACAGGACTGCGACAGGAAACCAACAGGACTGTGACAGGACTACAACAGGACCACAACAGGACCACAACAGGACCACAACAGGACTACAAAAGGACTACAACAGGACTACAAAAGGACTATGACAGGACCACAACAGGACTACAAAAGGACTACAACAGGACTACAAAAGGACTATGACAGGACCACAGCAGGACTACAAAGGACTATGACAGGACTACAACAGGACTACAAAAGGACCACAACAGGACTACAAAAGGACTACAACAGGACTACAAAAGGACTATGACAGGACCATAACAGGACTACAAAAGACTATGACAGGACTACAACAGGACTACAAAAGGACTAACAGACTACAACAGGACAACAGGACTACAAAAGGACTATGACAGGACTACAACAGGACTACAAAAGGACTACAACAGGACTACAAAAGGACTACAACAGGACTACAAAAGGACCACAACAGGACTACAAAAGGACTATGACAGGACTACAAAAGGACTACAACAGGACTACAAAAGGACTACAACAGGACTATGATAGGACTATGACAGGGTCACAACAGGACTAAACAGGACCACAACAGGACTACGACAGGACTAAACAGGATCACAACAGGACTACGACAGGAAGACAACAGGACCACAACAGGACTGTGACAGGACTATGACAGGACTATAACAGGACTAAACAGGACCACAACAGGACTGTGACAGGACTATGACAGGACTATAACAGGACTAAACAGGACCACAACAGGATCATGACAGGACTACGACCGGACTATGACAAGACTACGACAAGACTACGATAGGACCACAACAGGACTACAACAGCACCACAACAGCACCACAACAGAACTACAACAGGACCACGACAGGACTACAACAGAACTGCAACATTACTAAACAGGACTACAGCAGGACTAAACCAAGTTAACCTCAGGAAAAACTAGAGCATCACGGTGGCTATCACACTTCACAGCTTGAAGATTCCGGATTTGATCCCAAGGCCTTTCTGTGTGGAGCTCACATGTTTCTTCCTACATCAGGGTTGGTTTCCTCTCCAGCACTTCGGTTTCCAGCATCAACCCAAATATGCACCACAGACAAAATCCTCTAGCTTAAGGTCATTACACATTACAGGAGAATTTGCCCATTTGCCCTGTGTACTTTATCACCAGTGTTCTGTGCATTAAAATCATGTATCTGAAGTATTGCACCACATTTCACAAATAACAACACAGTTTTGACTTGTATCTGAACTAGAAGTGCAGTGCTCAATGTGAGCGGTTTTACTCGAGGCAGGAAACAGCTGTCTGTGATTTGAAGTCTCATTAAATTCTCCTCGTGTCACTTTTTGTTGCTTGTTTAAAAATCGTTTAAGACTTAAAAATCCTGTAGTGTGTGGCGGCCTTAAGGTATTCCTGAAAAAGGCAACAAGATCACTGAGATGAGTCCCCAAGCACTGCGCTGTAGTGTTCACGGCTCTTGAGGAGATGCCCCATTGAAAGATGGGCCAAATGCAAAGGACAAACTTTTATGGAATAGGATCTGCCACCTGATTGTGTTCATGGAGATTATATTGCTTTGTTTGTAATGTTTCAATAAACTTTGTATCACATGTCAAATCTATGGAGCGAAATCTCACACTAAAGCGCTATCGGTATGGGATTAGTATTACCTGTGGACCTTTGGTACTTAATAACAATAATGATAATGTAATAATTGCAGAGGATGCCTGAGATCTTAATCCCGTGCGAATGCAACATGTCTGTAATTTGTAAAGTAAAGTAAAAATTCTGCTGCAAATTATACTACATTTTGCCAAACACAGACGTCCGGTGATAATACTAGTCCTTTGCAAATCTGAATCTTAGTGTTTGTTGTTGTAACTGTGTGCCTTTTCTAACTCTTTCTTTTCTTTCTGCATTCTTTTCTCTTTCAATCTCTGTGTCAATGTCAGTAAAATAGAGGAATTTACAGAATTGCTTATCCCGTGCAAATGCGCTGCAAGTAACACAGAGGTGGGGCGGTAATTTGCAAATCCCCAGGTTGTACTTATCCCGTGCGAATAGGGCTTAAGAATGCAAGTTTTTCAGGGTATTGTAGAGCCATAAAAACACCCTATCTGTGGAACATTCATTGTGAAAGCAATAACATCTCCATGGAGCGGACTTCCTACAAGAAAAGTTTCATAGTCCCCCTTAAATGCCAGTCAGCACATACTCTTGGGACTCTTCTTAATGCCTGTACTTAATGCCCTTGTGTGTGTGTGTGTGTGCTTGTTGCAGTTGGCTCAAGACGAGGGCAGCCCGGTGAGGGGCTTTGGGGTGGTGGAGTACGAGAGCGCGGAGCAGGCGGAGGCGGTGCTCACCGAGATGGACAGGACCGTGGTCATGGGGCAGGTGGTGCGCCTGTCACTCTGCTCCCCCGGGACCTCAGGCAGGAGCACACTGGCTGCTCTCATCGCTGCACAGGGCATGGTGAGTACAGTTGGTCATACAGTTTCTGCTAAGGACGCCAGAAGTACATGCCCATAATTGATACTGTTAAAACTAAATATTTTATTGTTGTTAAGCTTGTTGCACATGTAGTTTAGACCTCTACAAAAATGTTCTGAAATGCATGAGATTCTTTTATTAGTGTATCAGTTCATATTTTAGTCTTCTGATGTTAAAGTGCGTATGACAAGCTTTGACAATTTTCTAATTTCTACTTCAGTTAGTGAGATAATACCAGTTGTACATATAAATTATAGTTTTATTTTGTGGAGAAACGTTGAAAAATATGTTGAAAATTACAGAAAGTTGGGAGTTCTATTTAAAGACATCACACTGGGGAGAATTCTATCCACAAGTTCAGCACAATTTACATGCAAAACATTTTCTGACAACAAAATAAAGATGTTTTCTTATATTTTTATTTGTCAAATAATAATTTCTGTGTACATTAGAGTAGTTTTGGCTCGGTGTACTGCATGGTTCCTCGATAACAGTGTGACTGAAAAGCTGAAATTGAAGCTGACTGAAACCTGAAAAATGGCAAAACTGGAAGAAAATTTTTTTTAAATGTTTTGTAAAATCCTTTATATAATGATCTTAACTGTGTTTTAGTCAAGTGAGTAGTAGTAGTACCCTGTCGTAGGCAATTTCATACTCCTGGAGTTGTTTACAATGTGCAAAGTCCTGCTTTTTATACATATACCACAAATATCTAATTGTAATTTTGCAATACTCATGCAGCCTTAAACGCATTAACTGGACAATATTTCACCTCTCTTGAATAGTTTTGAAATTTGTTACTTAAGATATAATAATTCAAAGGTGCGTTGTGTAAATTTCCTGGTGGTCGGTCCGTCAGATCTGTGGAAAGGCAACACCGCTCATAGGCTGAATACCTGTTTTTTCTTAGTATTTTTGAGCCATAAAGCCACCTGTAATAGAATAAATGTAAGATAGAGCTGTTTAATGTCATACTCTGCAACATTCCAGGCAAAGCAGTGACTATATACTATATATACTATCTATAGAAACAAGCAGGTGACAGACACTCGACCAAAAAGTTACACAATGCATCTTTAAAACAAACTGTGCTGAAATGACATTATATAACCCAATTTAAGTATTGAAAATGTTATCAAGAACGAAGACTTTCTCTTAGTATCCAAATAACAGAGTATAATAGTTAGTTATTCAATAATTGTGTGTGTTATAAGTATTCTTTAAACTATATCCCCTATATGATCAACTTTTTGAAAACTTTCAAACTTATAAAATCCATCTTGTAAGTCTCCTGTTAATCCGTTTGGCTCCTTGACCACCAGACTAAAGGAAAGGTTTGAAGCTTTATTTCAACACCAAGAAAAAGTAAAGAGGGCACCACACAATAAAACTCTCTAGAAAGTCTATAGAAAGAAAGATTTTCACTGTCTTAAAAAGGTGAAAACAGAACTAGTTTGATTTGAAATAATTATAAGTTGAGTTAGCTTTTCACAACTTTCCGAGATAAGAGCGGAATTTCGCTGTCATGGTAATTCTAACAAAAACCAGCCTGATAACAGCCCATTTACCTATTTGTGGATGATAAAACTCTTTGTAATCAGGTCAGAACAGTCTACAATGGTCTTAGGGTGTTTTCACGCCAGCAGAAGTTGGTGTGCAGTTCCGTTCGAACCAAAAGCTCTTAGTTCGGTTCATTTTTGTTGGAGTGAAAGCATCAATCACACTCGGATCTGCACTAAATCAAAGCGGACTGAGACCTCAAAAAAAAGGTGGTCTTGGTCCGCTTGACTCCGCACCAAATGCCAAACTCTGCTGTCCCTCTGATGTGAATGCGAACTCAGGTCCAAACCATAAACACTACGTCCAAATAGGGCTGGGCGATATAGAGCAAAAAATATATTTAGAAATATTTAGCTATACGGGAAAAATAACCCCCCAGAACTACTGCAAAAACAAATATGCCAAATTACACAATATCTTTTTTTATTGAAGTGCAAGAAGTAGGCAGTTCATATTGTGCTTCTGCCACATTTAAGATTACAAAAAATTCCTAATTACATAAATAATAATTTAACTGTAAAATTAAAGAAATAATACATATCTCCTTCTTTTCGTTCATAAATAAAACAACTCAACTCAAGCTCATCTTTGCATTAACTCTGCAATCGTATGATAACCTTGAGCTCCTTCAGCACAGGAAGCTCAGGAGGTTCCTTATTTTAACAGATCCTTGTTCCTCACCAGCAGTTAAGGAGCTCTGAGGTTTCCCACAATCCACTGCAGATCAAACCCAACGTTTCCAAACACTCTAGTACAAGTTAAACTGCAGCAGATTATTCATTAAAATCTTCTGCATAAATAAAGTTTACCTTACTAAACTTTACAACATATAAAACATAACGACTCTAGAGCCACGTCAGCCCATTTGACATTATAATAAGTTTAATGCAGCTTTGTGCACGTGTTTACTTTTTACAGAAACGAAACTTAAAATCCCATGGCTCATTTGCATAAACAGCTGCTCCTGGTGCCACTGATGCGGTTCAGCTTCTTTCGGACTAAAGGACACGGCTCAGTGGAATATGCGTGTTCTTTCTGGGACAGAGAATGTTCTGCTGATGGTCTTGTCTGTAAATGGTGGAAAAGTTGTATGGTGCCAGAACAGGGGTCTTCAACCTTTTTCTTCCGGTGAGCTACTTTTACAAAACGAAAATGCCAAAGAGCTACTAATTTTAGAAGTTACAAGAAATTGAGTAAATCTGAATAAAAAATTGGAATAAAACTTGAATAAAAACCACGGCAAGCCTTAGATAGGGTAGAGTTAGATGCCTATAAAACATAAACCATTATCCATTTATCAGTGTACAAAATTAGGCATCAAAATTATACATTTACAGTTAATTTTACTTATTCAGCCCAATACGTATAATTCAGAAATCCTTTGGTGAGCTACTTGGAACGGGGTGGGGATCTACCAGTAGCTCCTAAGACACAAGTTGGAGATCCCTGTGCTAGAAGCTTTCAGCATTCACGGCGGTAGTTAGGAGTGTGCAAAAATATTGAAATATCGATATATCGTATCGTTTAATGTAATGATACAGTATCAATATCGTGGGCTGCTGTATCGATATATCGAGTATTTATGTGGTGTATTTTACAAAATTATTTTGTTACAGCGTTACAGTTTTGTTGTTTGTTTAGTGGAAGGAAACTCATTCACACAGCAAAAAGGTTCTTTAAAATGAAAATTAAGAACATTTGACTTTATCTGAGTCGAATCTACCCATGGAATAAGTGTTTTTCTAAATTCAAGCGACATTCAATTTCATCTCTTATTTTAAGGGCTGTTGTTTTCTTTTTTTAAGTGTAGCAAGTTGAATTTTCATGTTTTAAGAACAAAAAATCGTATTCCGCTGATAGATAATTTAACTTGTCAAGTGGAATTTACTCAAATCATGATAAAACTTTCTTAAAGGTTGTATAGAGGATTTTTTTAAGGAAAGAGAAATACAGCGACAGTCCTTTTTCAAATGTTGTCCATGCGAAATAGAAATAATTTACCGACCAATGCATCAGTTTTTAGACACTTCGTCTGCGTCAGTCGCGCAGTCGCTGGAAGGAATCTCCAAGAATCACCTCAGTTTGGCTTTGCTCCTTTTCCCCTTCTCTTCTTCTTTCAGCGACCTCAAAAATTGACTTTCTTTTGCGGCGAACTGGTCGTGGATTCTCGTCGACCATCGCAACAAACTTTGTGCGAATTGTAATGAAGCTACAGTTTTAAAAAGCCTCTAAGAATCGCTGCATAAACCACATAATCCCCTCATGCTGGCGAGTCAGTTACACTAGAAACATAGGGAGTTTGATTGACAACCTAACAGCCAATAGAAAATGAGGCAGCCTCGTTGTCTATTGGCTGATGTTTATCTGGCTTCACTACGTCCACAGTTGATAGATTTTCATTCTTTTTTTTTTTTTTTGTCATCATAATTACAAGGCCGCTGCGTCTCTGTAATGGTATTTTAAACTTTCATTGACAATTTGAAACAAAAAAAAACAAAAAATCCTCTATACAACCTTTAATTCAAGTCAACTTAACTTGGCTAGATTAAATTTTTTGCAGTGCATGTGACACATTTGACATTTTCACAGTTTTGAGAATTAAAATGTTTTAGTTTCATATTCACTTTGCACTTTTGCAAGTGGTTTAACAAAGACTTTTAGTATCACAGCCATGATTTAGCCTTTATTTTTATTGAACGGAATCAATTTGAAATATATCGTATCGAATCGTAAGTTCACTGTATCGAAATATGTATCGTATCGTGGCCTGTGTATCGAGGTATGTTTCGTATCGGCAACTTCTTAATGATACCCAGCCCTAGCGGTAGTGAGGAGTGAATGAGACACAAGCGAGCAAAATCAGGGAGGCGGGGGCACGCGGGGGCGACGACAGAGAAAGCAAACAATCAGAATTGAATGTAAGCATTATATCGATATACATACGATATGCCAAAATCCATATCAACTTTAAAAATTCTCTCGATATATTTAAAATATCAAGATATCGCCCACCCCTATGTCCAGACAAACCGTTCAAAATGAGCCCCTGCAGCCTGCAACCCTCTCATTATTTTGGTCTTAAAATGCTCTTATTCACGTGCTCCACATGATTCTGGTGTTTTATTTCGCTATTTTGTGCATAAATAAATTCTTCTTCTTAATATGCAACTCCAAATTCGCCCTATAACTGCCAGTGTCGGTGAGTGTCATTTGAGTACAGGTGACGTCACTCCCCCTCAGTCCACTTCTTTTTACAGTGTATGGTACAGCACCTTTAAATTATCAATATCAGCTCACGGAAAACTATAGACTAGCATGTTTTCACACCTCTGCACATCCAGCTGTGACAGGATCATTAAAATGACAGGAGCAGTGAGCAGCTCTGTGGCACCTGTCAGTTTTGTCCTTGGGTTTGATGACTC